AAATCTTGAAGAAACAAAACTGAATTTTTTTGTGTGTTGTTAGTTTAAAAAGAAATTCTCTACAATGTTAAAAGTTTGTACAAAAGTAATTTTTTGAAAACGCCATTTTTTGCTGAAATCTTTATTGCTCAAAAAATTTTTTGATCTTCCGTGCCTAAAAAATCCGATTTTCAAATAGATTAAAGCAGCATTTGTACATAGTGACAAGTTTATAGATTGCATTAATAAAAAGTTGATGATAAATACGAAACCATAGAGATATAGGAATACAGTAAATAAGAGCAATACCAGCTTACAAGTAGCAGCGTGTATTTCACCAGCCACCCCCCCCCCCCTTCCCCAACATTAAATGTTCGTCAGGAAAAAAAGAGGGAGAGATTAGTTGTAGCGTATATTTGAATCGTCTATTTACAAATAAAACTGATGGTCGGCTGATGACCGCTTGTAAGATTAAACTTATATTGTATTTTCATTAGAAAAAATAAAAAAAGTACAAGCTTTAATATGAGTTGCTGATACGTTATTCGCCAAATAATGTGTTTAGCGATGCACAGTTTTTGATCAAGATACATTTATGAGCTATCGAAATTAAATAATAACTCTGATAACAGAAACATAGATTGATAAATAATTTTGTCACCAAAGTTGTTGGGTAAATTATAACAATAGTAAAATGCGGATAAAAAAAAAGTTGAAAGAAGATAAAAAAAGAATTAAAATAAAGGAAATTATAAAAAAATAAAAAAATTAAAAGAAACAAACCAGAGGGTATAAATAGGTCGTGGGACCCTCGGTAAGAACGAAGTTCTTTAAACATTAGATGAGTGCCAAAAAATACTTAAATATGAGATATGTGTCGAAAAACATCATGAAATAAAGAAACACAATTTCTCAGGTAACAAGGGGGTCGCAAGAGCCATTGGAAGAACGAATCTCTATAAAAATTACTACTACACTCATGTGGTTAAGTAAAACAAAAACTTGAAAAACCAATGAAAAAAAATAATTAGTTCAGTACTAACGATGGTTGAACTTCGTGAGTACGTCGTGCATAAATACAGTACTCACGAAATTCAATCATCATGAGCACTGAACTATTCTTTTTTTTTTTTCTTATTACATTCGTTTTTCAAGTTTTTTTTACAGTAAGTTAAGTACTTATTTTTACAGAGCTTCGTTCTTCCTATGGGTCTTGCGTCCCCTTGGTACCTGAAAAAATTGTATTTCTTTATGTTATAATGTTTTTGGACACACGTCTTATGTTTACTTATTTTTCAGCACTCATCTCATGTTTAAAGAATTTCCTTCTTACAGTGGGTCCCATGACCTATTTAAACCCCCTGGTTTGTTTCTTTTTTATTTTTTTTTTTTTTTTT